CTGCTGAAGTCCTGCCACCCAGCTGGAGGTGTGGATGTGCTCCCTGCTACTGGCCACGCTGCCTTCTTCCTTAATTGCTAGGGTGGAATTAAATCGCTCTTCCTGTCGCACTTGTGATGGGAAGTAGATTTCCATTAATCCAAGCCAATTAATGAAGAAACACTCCCAAGCCCCAAACTCCAGTTTCAATCTGTTGGTCTCCTCGTTAGAGGCACAGATCTCACCGTGTGCTTTGCTGTTTTGAGGCGGATCACCCCCTGGCTGAGAGCATGGAGCGAGAAGCTTTCCACCTCTCCTCGCGGCTCGTCGGCGTGCCGTACCGCCGGACGGTGCGAGCCCTCGTCTTCTCCTTGAAGCACAAGCCTCAGACCCGGGCAGAAGTCAAGGCTGGCACGCTCCCTGTCCCTGCCTTTGTGCAGAGCCACAAAAAGTGAGGAGTCCTGCTCGATCCCCAGTGAGAACTTGGGGTGCCCGCAGACCTGGGAGCCCTTCATGCCGCGAGGGGATGCTGGGCTCGCTTGGCGCTGCTGCAGGTGAACTACTAGTGATGAAAGCAGTGCTGTAAATCTGACTTGGTAGAAATCTGTGGGGGCTTGTTGCAAGAAAAGTTTCTTCTCCTCTGCTGTATATTTTCCTGCTACAAAACTGTCCTTGCTGACTCACCCATTTCTCACTCCTGCCTGTTTGTCTTACCTCCATTTATTCCCATCCCTGACATGGATCTTTGAGTGTAATCAGCTGGATAACATGAAGGAGCAGCTCTGTGCTGTGCTGGTGGGAAATGATGGGAATTCAGGGTGATTGGTCCATGGGAGGATATTCCTCATGGATAACTCCAAACTCTAGTAAACCCAAAATCAGCTGTGTCTGCTGCAGCTGGGCCCTGCCTGCAGCACCAGCTGACTGTTCCACCAAGCCTGGTGATTCTCCTTTTCTGCATTCCAGAGTTGGATGCAAAATGGGTTTCAGGGACTTGCTGTCCACCATTTTGCAGGCTCAGGCATCCTGCGATTGTGGGCATTTCCTAAAGCCCTGGGGTGAAAGTCCAAATGCCCTGGAGTATAGGTGCTGTCTAACTGGAGTATAGGTGCTGTCTAATGCCTCTGCTCTTTAGTGAGCAGCTCACTCAGACTTCCCTACCTCACTCATCATTTAAATGTGGTGCTTGTTCTTACTGTAACGTGAAAACAACTTGAAATGAATTTTCTAAATAAAGTCAGATTATAAGCAAAATATCCCTTTTAAGGGCTTATTTTTTACCTCCAAGAGGAACATGGTTCAGAATGAAAGCTGTGACAGGCACAGTGGTTCTCTACTGGTGCTTAATAAAGTGCTCTCCATCCTCTGTGTGTGTAGGAACACGAGGGGCTGGTCACAAACCTTTTTCTGAGTTATCAGGGTAGATAGAACCAAGTGAGTGAAACCTGCCTATTTACAGGTGTGGGAACTGAAGTCATAACCCATGGGGGAGTGTCTTGTGATCAGTCATGGTCAGAACTGACTTCAGAAGTCACTTACAGACAAAGAATGCACTGAGAAAATTATTCAGGTCTTGAAAGGAAAACATGACTGACTGTAATTACAGACATGCTAAATACTTATTCTACAGACATTGCAATCTAAAGGAACACCCAAGACTTACCTGAGGTGTTGAACTCTTGTAAATTTAATTAGTTAATTGCAGGTTCTCTTAAATTAAAACATCTAAAACCTGTCTTGCGTGGCCCAAGCAGACAAGACTTCTTTTTCCATACACATTATGAAGGTATCTTCAAACAGCTGGCTCTTCTGAAAACAGTGATGCATCTGTACAGATGTTTCATTCGTAGAAGGTTAAGGTTGGGGATGTTGGAAACAGCACGAGACAAAGACTGGCAGATATATGGTGCTGACTTTATGGATGTCAGTGAAGACTTCACACTTTTTGACCAGGCTGCAGCAAGAGATGTGAAACCCTGGATTTACTTCTTACAAGTCTTCAGTTCCATATCCCACTTAAATAGCTGCACCAGCTGTAATTGAACTTGTGTGTCCTGGGCTGTCACAGAAGGGGTTCAGGATCAATGGGTGATCCAGCTTCTGCTTCCAGATCTGCCACGCCAAGAACTGCTGTAGTTATATTCAGCTTTCTCTTCCTGGTGTTAGGCAGTTTTCTCTACTTAGGTACTGTGTAAGAAACAAAAATCCTGAAAAGGATAAAGTTCTGTTGTAGCAGAAGCCAAGCCAGAGAAGTTCCCCACACAGGTCAGACAGAGTTGTTCTGAAGTATGTCCCTCCAGATCCAGCTCTTCTATTTGGTGTTAGAGCTGGCTGTAGTGTCTGAGCTGAAGATTCACAGGCTCAGCTTTGCATAAAACTGTCTGGAGGAACAGGAAAAGGTTCCGGTTGGGAGGGTTGGACTGGAGACCCAGAGCACAGGAGGAGTGCAGAGAACAAGGGAATGCTTTAAAGACAAAACCAGAAAGGAAGGTGGGAAGGAAGACAAAAAGAGATGAAAAACCAATAGATCAAAACAGAGCTTCATTTTCCCAAAGGGGATGCTGCCTGTGACAACAGGATACTCAATACCTGACAGAAATCAAGTTTTTAATTACTCTCTAAAGACCAGATTCCCCCCTTGGAGCAATCCCACCTGCACAACTGCATTTCTTTATGCCTTAGGTGACCTGTAGTGCGTGTGACTTCTGGAAATCTCTTGAAGCAGAAGGTCTGGAAGGGCACAGGCACCTGAGCCCTGCGGAATCCATCGCGCCCGAGGCCAGCCTGGCTCCGAAACATCTGCTCTGGGTCACGGGGGGTCCTGCAGGACACTCACCAGCTTGGGTTCCCCTGTCACATGGGCTACAGATTGGGCTGGGGGGAGAAGGGGCTCCTTACACATCCTGAATTTTGGCCTCCTTGGCCCAGGCATGCATTTCTTCCGAATTCTGCTCCCTCTCCTCTGGTTTCCCTTGGCAGCTGCTGTGCAGCACGGAGCAGCCACAGTAAGGCATGGTACAAAGGCAGGGACTCTCCACAAGCTCCTGTCTTCACGCTGGGGAAGCCCTTTTAGATTAAAAGGGAGGATAAAAGGACTGAGTGGTGGCTCCCTTGTGCTAGGTTTCTCTGGCATGGTGCCTTTGAAATAGCTGGTTCTCTTTTTATAGAGGAAACATTAAAGGGAGGAAGCACCCAATCTGGAGAAAGGTTTGTTTTTTTGGTTTTTTTGGTTTTTTTTCTACCAAATTAAGCCCAGCCCATGGATTCCTTTGGGTGAAAGAATACATAAAGCTGACAGACCTATAGAGACCTGCTGCACCCAATAAAAAGGGGGAGGAAGCACCTTCTGGAGTGACATCTCCTGCTCTCCTCCCCTGCCCATGCTGCTGGTGCTTGGGGAACACAGGCTGGGCTTAGGGCAGCCTAGGATGGATGAAGGGGGAGTTCACCCCTGCCAGAGCTGACTGCTGGAGAGTAAGTTTGGGAAGGCACCAGGTGAAAGCTTGCTCTGTTCCCCATCAGCAGGCACAGCTCAGGAGAGCTTTGTCCAGCTCCAAATTACTCGGGCGAAAGAAGACGGGAGTAGACAAGACCCTCCCTGGCCCTCAGAAAAGAGAATGCACAGCAGCTCACCACTTCTCATCTTTGAAGAGGCTCTTCAAAGGTTTCTTCACAAAGAACCCAAACTTTTAGATCTCATTTGCTTCCCTGGCAGCCCTGTAATACGAAGGGTTTGCTAGGCTGGCCCCGGATTGAGAGATGTTAAGGCAAGGAGCAGCCACAGATGCCTTTCGGAGCCCTGATCATTTGAAGGAGGCTCCAGGAACTTCCCTCCCATGGTATGAGTGGGACAGGAGCATAGGAGGGAGCTGAAATTGGGGGCTGGAGCAGAGGAGGGATGGAGGGCAGCAGAAAATAAGAGGTAGAGGGGGGGAAACGTGTTGGTGAGTTGCCCAGCACATCTGGCCACAGCGAGCAAGCCCTTGTTCCTCCGTGCAGGGCACAGCTCCAGAAGCACTGAGCGAGTCTCCCTCGCTGCTTTAAATGGCTGTGGCACTTTCCAAGTGTTGTTAATGCTAGGGAGTGACCTAACCTCCCATAGCAGGGATCCTCGTGGAGGATGCCACAAGGGCTGCGTTTCTTTAAACATCCCTCTGCTCAGACACTGCTCTTGCAGGATTCAGGTGAACAAAGTGATATTTCACAGAAAGGGAAACTGAGGCACAGAGGGACTCTGACATGCCACAGGACACAAAAAAAGGGAAACCTGTGCCAGGGTTATACTGCAATTAATGATGCTCTAATTCTTCTGCTGGCAGTCCACTGAACAACACCCATGGTCTCTGTCAATTAGACTAGATTATGGGATAATCCTTGCTAATTATATATTATTATCTAGTAAGCATTTATCTCCCTATAAAGGGTGCACCTGTAATGGACAAACACTCTTCCTCTAGCACTGGCAGCCCAAATGGCATTAAAAAAAAAAGAAAAGCCTAAATAATTTCTGCTGTGAACAACATTTTGCCTAAACTGAAATTTTCACATTGCAAACACTGCACCCCTGTCCCGAGAGGAAGAGGAGAGCTATGACATGCTGAAGAGGGGAGGCAGGTTCCAACCTTCACCCCCAAACCTGCTGCAGAGGTGTGACTGTAAGTTCAAAATCTATCTGCAAACTCTCCCATCCATCACAGAGCAAATGCCCCGGCCAGCCTGCACACACCACACCCCCCTGAGCAGGGGAGGGGGAACACCCTGTCCCCAGGGCTGCGGTCACCAGGAAGCAGGGTTTGAAATAAGCTGGGAAAACAACTCCCAGTAAACGCCGTCGTTGTGTTTTTAATTGTCCATATGCTTGATCCGTTTCCCCAGATGGCAGAGCTGCTTAACTCCTGCCTCCTCATCTGTGCCACCACAGCCAGGGGCTCGGGCAGGTACCTGGGTCTCCAGGGCAGAGACATCCCTGTGGCAGGCTGGTGTTGCCCACCTGAGTGGGCAGGGTGAGCTGCTTCCCTGCAGAAGGGGCTTTGGTTTGCCAGAGAGAGGGGCTCTGCTTGCTGCCGAGGCCAAAGAGGCTGCAGAGTCCCATTTCCCTCATCTGCATCCCAGGACTCCAGTCCCTGCAGGGCCGCTGGAGGGAGGCTGGATACGAGTCGCCCATGAGGAAGGAAAGAGCCCCAGGAGCAAGGGCTGAAAGTCACCTGGCTGAAGAAAATAACTCCTTGGCTTTCTACTCCTCCCCTGCCCCGGCTCTCCAGAGCTCCTTTGCCATTTCACACACTCAGATACAAGCAGAAGCGACCTGCCCAAATTGTGGGCTCATCCAGAGCAGAAAAGTACCTGGAGCCCCACTTGTGCTTTGGCTTTTGTACGCTCCCCTGGAGGAACAAATCGATGCCTCCTCCAGATCTAGAGACACACAATGACACCCCCACCAACATCAAACCAGTTA